GCGGCCGGCGATGGGACGGGACGGCCTTAGCCCAGCTGTGCTGTGTCCAGTCGCGACATCGTGCCCATCGCCGCGTGTGTCTGTGCTGTCCGCGGTTGTGTCGTGTCATATCGTGATGCGCGGCTGTGTTGTCGCGCCCTGGTGTCACACCGTGACATGCTCACGGCGCTGCCTCGTGTCTCCTCCCCTGCCATGCCCCACGTCAGACCCTGCTCCTCCGGGTCGTGCTTGTCGCTCCGGGGTCACAGCTCTGTTTCCAGGTGTCTCGTCCATCTCTTCCTCTCTCCGGGATGCTCTGGCTAGGGGAGAAGGGAGTTTGGAGCCAGACAGCTCCAGGAGCTGTGCTTGGGAACACCAAGGGTCACCGTGGGTCACGGCTGACCCCCACGGACCCTCCGTCCCTGCCCCTTTGCTGGTGTTCCACCCCTTTGTGACGTTCACTTGTCTTTCTCTTGGAAACGGGCACTCTCAGAGGGTCCATTTCGTTCTCAGATTCTTTCATCCCAAACAAGATCTTTATTATTTACCTCTGGAAAATACTGGATGATGCACAGTTCGTGGTGGGTCTTAAAAGACACGTGTAATTAGGAAAAGTATAAAAATCTGCAGAATTAAGAGCGTTTGTCAGTTTAGAGAGAGACTTGAGGTTTCAATTTGCCATCAGTTTTCTCTGGAGTCACTCATGCACTGATGTGTGTTATCTTGTTCTTCCCATATTGGCTTCTTCAAGCCTTTCAATGTTTGGGTGTTTCCTTCCTCAGCTGAGGGAAAGCATCTGGAAGGGATATATCCAGTAGGTGCCTTGGGTTTCTTTTTCTGATTGCTTACATACAAAGAATTGCTTAAATAAATGGAAAATATCTATCTAACTTGTGACCTGAAAAGTGGGTGCTGATAGGCAGAGGTTTAGGGCCAAGTTGGCCTAGAAGATTCCATGTTAACTGCAGAAAATCAAATTAGGAAATTAAAACTAAAGCATCAAATACTAAGACAAATGTTTGTTTTTTTCTTCAGGTTAAAACTTGAAGAGGCCAAAGAAGTTCAGAGCCTCAGAAAGCGACCCAATGGGGTGAGGTAAGGGATATCACACCATGGATGGGAAGCTGTGTTTTGTCCAAGGGTGTGATGTGCAATAGTAAATTTCTCTTGTCATGTGCCTCCTTCCATATAGTGCCAGAACCATGTTCTTGGGAGAGGAGATTCTGTGTTAAAGACTGAGGATGGAAAAATGGGATCTTTAAGAGGAGATTTAGAGAAGGATAAAGCAATGCAGTATTGTTGGTAATACATTTCCTTCCACTGAATTTCATTTTTTTTCTTTATCTGCCTGACCAGTGCTGTAGCTCTGCTCGTGGGAGAAAAGTTGCAAGAAGAAGCAACACTTGTGGTAAGTGCTGGACACCTTCATCACCTCAGGGCTAAGATGTGATGGTGTGAAAACATCGATGTGGTCTGGCTGATGACTGCGCGAGTCTGGCCTGGGGTGGGACTGGTGTCACAGCTCAATTCCTTAATGTTTTCTGTGCTTTTCTCCAGATTTTGAAGACTAGCATTAAACTAGAGGGAAGCTTCAGGGTTTCTCAATATTTCTTGTTTTACAGGATGACCCATTTAAGATAAAATCTGGGGGAATGGTGGACATGAAGAAGCTGAAAGAAAGAGGCAAGGACAGGTGGGTGCATGTGGAGATCTCTCCCTGGACTAGTGTTAAATGACAGCTGTCAATGAATTAACCAGAGGTTGTGATTTCCATTTAGGATCAATGAAGAGGAAGATCTGAACCTGGGAACTTCCTTCTCAGCAGAAACCAACAGGAGGGATGAAGATGCTGACATGTGAGTTGTGTCTCTGATGTTGAATGGGATTGGGTGGCTCCTCACCACTTTCTGTTTTGGATTCTGAGCAGTCCTAGAACATCTTCTGGGAACTGATGTTAGCTGAGATTACTCTTTGCTCTGTGCTCAGCAGTGCAGGGACAGAGTACAGAAAACAGAATTACATGCTATGTGTCCCTTGTGTGCTGCTGTTTAGGATGAAGTACATTGAGACTGAGCTGAAGAAGAGAAAGGGAATTGTGGAGAACGAGGAGCAGAAGGTGAAGCTTAAGAATGCTGAGGACTCTCTGTATGAGCTGCCAGAGAACATACGTGTCTCCTCTGCCAAGAAGACTGAGGAGATTTTTTTTCATTCCTGAAGTGGACCTGGGAATTGAGTATGTGTTTGGCCTGAATTTCCAGGATGTTTGTATAGCATTTCCTCCTCTCGTAAACCACATCAAATACCACAGCAGTGCTATTACTGTCCCCTAGATCCATCCACTTCATACTTCTGTGCCTATTGCCCTTTCTAATGAGTATTTTTTTCTTTCTTCTTCTTCTAGTGCAAAAATAAAAAACATCATCTCTACTGAAGAGGCCAAGGCCAAGCTGCTGGCAGAGCAGCAGAACAAAAAGAAAGACAGTGAAACTTCCTTTGTTCCCACGAACATGGCTGTTAACTATGTCCAGCACAACAGATGTAAGTCTTGCATAGCTCTCCTGACCCAGCTGGGACAGAGTTTGGTGCAGGAGAAATTAGTCCATGTATTGGCACAAGCAGCCAGCTGCTTGGTTTTCCTGGGGTGCTCATAGACCCCATCTGGCCTGGTCTCTTTCTTTTGCTCGTCAGCAAGGAAAGGGATGTATTTCTCATGGCTGGACTTTCTGAAGTCCCAGCTGACACCACCTCATAAATTTCAAAACATTTTCTTTAAGTTGTGCCTTGAGCATGTGCTGGAAGTTCCTGCCTTGTCTGCAGTGATAAATGTTGGTTTATAATGGAGAGAGTCCAGTTTGTAGGCTGCCAGAGCAGACAGGTGGCCAAGCAAACACAGACCTCACTAGACAGGAGATAGGAATTAATCTCCAGGCAAGCCACACCACACCACAGCCATCTGGAGGAAAGGCGACCTTCATGTGTCCTTCCATGCTTCCAGGGACTCCAAGAGGAGTCACCTTGGTGTGTCCTGAAGAAGTGAAGAGTGTTTGGGCCACTTCTGATGAAACAGTGCTACTGAAATTTGCTGTATTGATTACCCATAGAAACCAATTCCAAGAAAACTCATTCTGAGCTTCAGTTGTTTGTGCTAGAGATGAGTTGTAACAAATGCCATAGAGATTTGTCCATCTGAGTAATAAGAGTCGTCCGGATAATATTCCTTATCTGACATTTCCCTTCTTGCAGTTTATCACGAGGAGCTGAATGCACCAGTGCGAAGGAACAAAGAGGAGCCAAAGCCTCGTCCACTGCGAGTCGGAGACACCGAGCGGCCAGAACCTGAACGTGAGTCCTGAACCTCAGAGGTTGTAAGGAGAGACACTGGAACTCTCCAGGGATCTTGCACAGAGAAACAATCTGATGCTTCTTGCCTCCTCCCCACTGGGTGCCCTGAGCTAGTGGGGAAATGGAACAATCCAAGTCCAAGAGAGCTGCTTGATGTGCCACTACTAGGTCACTCCTGAAGCCTCTCTGGATGTGCTTAGAGGTGCTCTGAGGTGGAGCAGCAAAGGTCACAGCTGAAGTGTGTTGCCAGAGCTGTCTGACAGGGGTTGGTGGACACTGGACTAGCAAAGGGTGCCAGGCCAGGGTGCACTGACAGCTGAAGCAATCACCTTTCACACAGGGAGGGGCTGTATAACGGAATAATGTATCAGTGGGGGAGTTAGGGAAGTATCTCCTGTGAAAGGACAGGGAAATAATGTTTCCTTCTCTTCCTTTTGAAGGATCTCCTCCAAACCGCAAGCGTCCCCTCAATGAAAAGGCCACAGATGATTATCACTATGAGAAGTTCAAGAAGATGAACAGACGATACTGATGACCTTGGACTGAAGCCTTTGGAGTTGTTTGGATTTTCCACTGATAAAGGATTTTGTGTCAGTGACCTGCAGTGGATGTTGGGAAGAGTCACTACCTTCAACGTGATGATGTGTTACCTACAAAGCTTTCCCTGTGTGATCTTGTAGTGAATCAGTTTGCAGGTGATTGTGAACTCTTTGGTCAGTGAAACCTTGTATATAATGTTCTTATAAATGAAGTTTTGTAATGGAAAATGACCTTTCATCGTTGGCATTTTTTAGTGAGAAAATTTTTGTAGATTTTTTTTCCCACCATCTTAAAAACACTTAAAGAAGAGAAACCCTTTAAAAGCAGCAGTGCTGTTTGCTTTGTGAACATGACACTCTTGGGAGAGGGTCAATGTGGCAGTGACCAGAGGCCCCACAGCCTGTGCCATGTCACAGCTGTGCCATGTCCTCCCCAGAGGTGCCACGTGGGTACTTGTAGTGAAGATTTGTAAGCTGTAAACAGTAAAAATGTTTTTAAGTTCTCAGGCATTGGAATATTGCCCAGAGAGGTGGTGGAGTCACCATCCCTGGAAGTGTTTAACAGGTGTCTGGATCTGGTGCTGGATTTATTGTGTGCAGTTCTGGTGTCCCAAACATCAGAAGGACATGGAACTGTTGGAGCAAGTCCAGAGGAGGCCAGAAAGTTGCTAAGAGGACTGGAGCATCTCCCCTGTGAGGACAGGCTGAGGGGGTTGGGGCTGTTCAGCCTGGAGAAGAGAAGGTTGTATGGAGACCTCAGAGC